CCCGCCGAGCGAGCGGGCCCCGCGTCCCCGGCCTCTCCTCGGGGGGCTGCTGCTCCCCGCCTTCCTGCGGCCTCCTGGAGCTCGCCCCCTTTGTCAGTGTCTTTCCCATCCTGAGGGCCCAAAGTTGGACACAGCACTTCAGCTGCGGTCTCACAGGCGCTATAGAGAGGGAAGAATCACTTCCCTCGAACCGCCAACGATGCAGTGCTGGATGCTGTTAGCCCTTGTTGCCAGGGCATGCTGCTGGCTCATGTTCACCATGATGTGTGTTGGAGAACCCTGAGTCCTTTTCTACAGTCAGTGCCAGCCTCTGGCATTGCTAGCAGTTCCTCCTTCCCGGGTACAGGACTTTGCATTTGGCTTTGATAAATTTCATAAGGCTTGTGTCAGCCCATTCCTCCATCCTGCTATCCGTCTGAATAGCAGGCGTGCGCTCAGACGTCTTGACTGATCCCCCCCAGTATCGTATCATCTGCAAACCTAATGACAATGCTCTCCACTGCCTCCTCCAGACCGCTGATGTTAAACAGGACAAATTTCGGGACAGACCCCTGCAGTACTCCACTTCTGCCAGCCTCCAGGAACAGTATGACCTATTCATCATAACTCTGATCATCATCCATCCCGTTTTTTACCAATCTAGTTGTACACCCATCCAGATTCTACCTAAAAAGGGTACATAAAAATTGTGGGACACAATGTCAGAAGACTTACTGCAGTTGAGGTAGATGACATTCACTGCTCTGCCCTTATCCAAAAACCCAAACATTTTATCGTGCAACACAATCCATCTGGTTAGTCATGATTTACCCTTGGTAAACTCATGCTGACAGTTCCCCATCACATTCTTCACATGCTCAGCAATGTGTTCTCACTCCATGGGACTGAGGTGAGGCTGAGCGATCAGTAGCCTCCTGGGTTAGACTGAGGCCTGTTTTGAGGATGGGGCCATTTTTAAAGATGGATGCAACATTTACGTTTCTCCGTTCATCAGGGACCTCTGCCATTCTCCATGACCTTTCAAAGATGTTAGGAGAGGAGCCTGTCAAGGACATTGGCCAGCTCTCTCAGCATCTTCAGATGCAGCCTGCTGGGTCCCCCTGACTTGCCTTTGTTGAGATTTCTCCAGCAGTCCCTGACTCAACCATCCTCCACTGCTGGTAGTTCCCTCCATCCTGAAACCCTGCCTCTTAAGCACAGAGGCCTAGGAGAGTCTGTTGGTGAAGGCAAAGTTGGCACTGAGTACCTCAACCTGAGCTGTGTGCCTTGTCCCTCAATCACCTGCCCCATTCGGTAGCAGTCCCACGTTTTCCTTGCTTGGCCATTTAACACTGATGGAGCAAGAGAAGCTCTTCCTGTGTCCTTTGGTATCCCTTGCAAGTCTCAGCCCCTGGTGAGCTTTGCTTTCCCAACACCATCCCCATAGACCTAGGCAATGTTTCTATATTTTTCCTTTGTAGCCTGTCCCTGCTTCCACCTCTTGGATAATGCCTTTTTGCATTGGATGCCTGGCAGGACTTCCCTGCTTAGCCATACCAGGCTCCTCATATGTCTGCTTATTTTTCTGAGTATTGTGACAGACTGTTCTTGTACGTGGAAGAGGCTGCCTTTAAAGGGCTGTGAACTTTCCTGAGCTCCTCTGCCCATCGGAGCTGCCTTCCCATGGGATTCCCGTTTCCTGAAGAAGCCACAGGCCACTCTCCTGAAGTCCACAGTCTGTGCATTGCTCCTCTCCTTCCTCACTCCCCTCAGGATGAACTCCATGATTTCTGCTTGGTGGCTCTCCCAAGCTGACACACATTTGGAAAGCCATGCAAAGCTCCTGACCTGCAGTGCTATTGCCTTGCTGCTGGGCCTGAAAAGTGCCTCCCCTCAAGGGTCTGAGTCACTAGCCAACCCTGCCAGGAGCATTCCTAGCACAGACAAGCCACACTCAGGGCTTCTTCTCAAGGGAAAATAGTTTTATTAAAAACCTCGTGAGGAAATGTTTGCCCACCCCCACCTCCTGGTCTCGGCTCAGGATGTGGGATACGAGCCATGCCTGTGCTGCCTCCTCCTCCTCTTCTCATATTCTGGCCTTTGCTTCGGCCTTGGGTCTTGGAAGCTGCCAACCTCAGTCGTCAGACTGCTCTGACACCTTCAAGAGCCTCTTCGGCTTTTCTGGGACTTGCTAGTGTCCCTCCAGCTGCACCTGCCCTGGTATCTCAGGTTCTTGGTGCAGCTCCTGGCTGATTGCTGCCCATTTCCCTGGGAGCCTGGCTAGCACTGGAGCTGTGACTGCTGCTTGCTGGGCTGGGAAGGGGTTTGGAGAATGCTCGTCCTCCTCATCTTTCCCCTCCACCTCCGAGCGCTGCTTCCGCTGGAGAAAAGGAGGTGTCGCGGGTCAGTCCCTCCCGACGTGGGGAGGAAGGAGGCCTTCACAAAATGGCTTCCCTGAGGAGCTGCTGCCCAAGGGCCCCTCCTAGGCTTCGTTGCGGCAGTCCCCCCAGGCCACCAGCCACGGCCTTGCCCCTCCCTGTGGGACTCTCACCTCAGCAGCGAATGACCCTGCGGAGCTGGCAACACGTCTCCCCTGTGCCCCAAATGCCCTATCATCCCCTAACCGCCTATGCCAGCCCCATGGGACACCCCGTAGCCCCCGCAGCCCAGCGGGGTAGATGACATTCACTGCTCTGCCCTTATCCAAAAACCCAAACATTTTATCGTGCAACACAATCCATCTGGTTAGTCATGATTTACCCTTGGTAAACTCATGCTGACAGTTCCCCATCACATTCTTCACATGCTCAGCAATGTGTTCTCACTCCATGGGACTGAGGTGAGGCTGAGCGATCAGTAGCCTCCTGGGTTAGACTGAGGCCTGTTTTGAGGATGGGGCCATTTTTAAAGATGGATGCAACATTTACGTTTCTCCGTTCATCAGGGACCTCTGCCATTCTCCATGACCTTTCAAAGATGTTAGGAGAGGAGCCTGTCAAGGACATTGGCCAGCTCTCTCAGCATCTTCAGATGCAGCCTGCTGGGTCCCCCTGACTTGCCTTTGTTGAGATTTCTCCAGCAGTCCCTGACTCAACCATCCTCCACTGCTGGTAGTTCCCTCCATCCTGAAACCCTGCCTCTTAAGCACAGAGGCCTAGGAGAGTCTGTTGGTGAAGGCAAAGTTGGCACTGAGTACCTCAACCTGAGCTGTGTGCCTTGTCCCTCAATCACCTGCCCCATTCGGTAGCAGTCCCACGTTTTCCTTGCTTGGCCATTTAACACTGATGGAGCAAGAGAAGCTCTTCCTGTGTCCTTTGGTATCCCTTGCAAGTCTCAGCCCCTGGTGAGCTTTGCTTTCCCAACACCATCCCCATAGACCTAGGCAATGTTTCTATATTTTTCCTTTGTAGCCTGTCCCTGCTTCCACCTCCTGGATAATGCCTTTTTGCATTGGATGCCTGGCAGGACTTCCCTGCTTAGCCATACCAGGCTCCTCATATGTCTGCTTATTTTTCTGAGTATTGTGACAGACTGTTCTTGTACGTGGAAGAGGCTGCCTTTAAAGGGCTGTGAACTTTCCTGAGCTCCTCTGCCCATCGGAGCTGCCTTCCCATGGGATTCCCGTTTCCTGAAGAAGCCACAGGCCACTCTCCTGAAGTCCCCAGTCTGTGCATTGCTCCTCTCCTTCCTCACTCCCCTCAGGATGAACTCCATGATTTCTGCTTGGTGGCTCTCCCAAGCTGACACACATTTGGAAAGCCATGCAAAGCTCCTGACCTGCAGTGCTATTGCCTTGCTGCTGGGCCTGAAAAGTGCCTCCCCTCAAGGGTCTGAGTCACTAGCCAACCCTGCCAGGAGCATTCCTAGCACAGACAAGCCACACTCAGGGCTTCTTCTCAAGGGAAAATAGTTTTATTAAAAACCTCGTGAGGAAATGTTTGCCCACCCCCACCTCCTGGTCTCGGCTCAGGATGTGGGATACGAGCCATGCCTGTGCTGCCTCCTCCTCCTCTTCTCATATTCTGGCCTTTGCTTCGGCCTTGGGTCTTGGAAGCTGCCAACCTCAGTCGTCAGACTGCTCTGACACCTTCAAGAGCCTCTTCGGCTTTTCTGGGACTTGCTAGTGTCCCTCCAGCTGCACCTGCCCTGGTATCTCAGGTTCTTGGTGCAGCTCCTGGCTGATTGCTGCCCATTTCCCTGGGAGCCTGGCTAGCACTGGAGCTGTGACTGCTGCTTGCTGGGCTGGGAAGGGGTTTGGAGAATGCTCGTCCTCCTCATCTTTCCCCTCCACCTCCGAGCGCTGCTTCCGCTGGAGAAAAGGAGGTGTCGCGGGTCAGTCCCTCCCGACGTGGGGAGGAAGGAGGCCTTCACAAAATGGCTTCCCTGAGGAGCTGCTGCCCAAGGGCCCCTCCTAGGCTTCGTTGCGGCAGTCCCCCCAGGCCACCAGCCACGGCCTTGCCCCTCCCTGTGGGACTCTCACCTCAGCAGCGAATGACCCTGCGGAGCTGGCAACACGTCTCCCCTGTGCCCCAAATGCCCTATCATCCCCTAACCGCCTATGCCAGCCCCATGGGACACCCCGTAGCCCCCGCAGCCCAGCGGTCGTGGCACCTCGCACCCCACTTGCTCAGCAGGAGCCAGCAGGTGCACAGGGCTGGGTGAGATCCTGTGACCGGGCGGTCCCTGGGCCGGGGATGAGCTCGCAGTGGGGGCTCACACCCCCCTGCCTCTCTGCCTGCTCCCTCCTACTTGCCTCACCTGGCTCGCAGGGCGCCATGGCTGGAGATGGCATTGCCCGGGCCTGAGTGATGGTGCCAGGGGCCTGAAACCTCCTGCTCCTTTCCCCTGGCTTGTCACCTCCCCTCCTGGGCATCGCTCGCTGCACGAGTGCAGTCCTCGGTGGAGGGTTTTGAGTGCCAGGGGCAGCATTTGGGAAGAAAGTGCAACCGGGAGGACAACCCTAGCTTGGGCTTTCCCCCGTGTGCCCAGGCATCTGGCTCTTTTGCTCCCCTCGTGCTCTCTTCCATCACTTTTTTGTTCCTGCCTGATGTCTCCCCTTGCAACTGCTGTTTTCCAAGCACCTCAGTCATTATTTTTTCCAAGGTCCTCAGTTTGTCCTTGGGTTGCCTAAACAAGCCCAACCAACAGCCATCGCCCTGCAGTTCTTCCCCAGTGCAAGCTGTCTTGCTTGGACCATCAGTCTTTAGTTTTTTATATGTGATTTAATTTTATGATCCTCTCAGTAGAGTATGAGCACATCACCATCTTTGAGAAATATTTTTTGCCTCCTGCCATCACCCTGAATTAAATAAGTACTATGTTTTTGTACAGATGAAGAAATGAGAAACTCATGGCTGTATTTGAAAAGCACCTATAGCACGTGCAGCATGAAGTCTTACTTGACAGAAATATCTGAAGATAAAAATTTTAAATGGAATCACATCATTATTTAGGAATTGACCAACACTCAAATGTACAGAGAGCTTTAACATAAGGGGGTATGCAGGCCATAATATTTTAAATTGCTAGGCTCACTGAGTGCTGCTTAATGCAAGCATAGCACAATTTAAAGCTTATTCCAAAGAAACCTCAACAACAAAATTTGTTTTTAATATGATCATTGCCCATTCTTCTCTTGCCTTTTTCTGCTGGGGCATGTTCCTGTACAAGTATTTAACAAGCATGAAATTGCTAAGAAATGATATTGACACAGCTGTAATAGAATGGTCCCAGACAGACACACACAAACTGGGAGTTGTGCAATGGACCCTGTGAAAAATCCTTATCTGTAGAATTTGACCAACTAAAAGATTTAGTTTCAGCCCTCACCAGGCCCAGCCCCGACTGAAAAAATCAAAGATAAGGTTGTCGGTTCTTCCTACTACAGTGCATAGCAGTACAACTCATTCCCTGCCTCTTACGACCTCATTTCTCTTGACTTTATTTGCAGGACTAAGAGAAATCTAATACAAAAGGAAGATGCTTTTTAACTTGAGGAACTTCTTTGGTACTACAAATGTGTTGAAGAACAGCAAGCATCTGGTGCGACAATTTTGGTAAGCCTATCCTTTAGATTTCTCTGGCATTTGGTGACAGTCAGTCAGAAACCTAGAGATGAAAGCGCTTGAATTCTGTGAACAAGTAAGTGTTTCAGATAAAGGCTTCTGTTAGCCTATTTAGTCCCCCTTTGCCCTCTGAGGCAGCAAGTTCTGAGTCTTTGTGAGACCGGAGGATTTTCCTTTTAATATTTGTGAAATCTTGTTTATTATTTCTGTGGGGTTTAGCAGCACATGAAAAAGGTGTTTCTTCTTGAGTTCAGTGTACACTGCAGGTACTTGTAAACATAAATAACTATCTGAATAAAGTATAGGAAATTCTACTGTGTTTAGACAAGTGTTCAGACCAGTACTGGGGAGGAAATTCCCTCCCTGAAGCTGCAAGGTGAATCTCAACTTCAGCATTCATTTATCTGTATACACACTCGATGCATGCAGGAAGAGCAGTATGTGATAGGAACTTCAAAATTAATCACGTAGACCTGAAAACCTGACTTTGGATTCTTTCTTCAGTGGCATAGATTTGCCCATTCCCCGTGACTTCAGAAAAGTACCTATCACAATGTTTCGGTGAGCCGCTCCTAATGACAAGTCTCATTTCAATAATCAAGTTAAAATTAAAGACTTGAAGCTTAATTCCACATTCACATCAATTGGAAAACAAATGTTTTCCAAGTTCCATGATTCAGTTGCTACAGTTTTAAAGTGATCCTGAAGCCTGGGTGATACTTTCTTTGTGGATTTTCGGTTTCCACTGCTGGCAATTGGCGGGAAGTTTCTCTGGTTAACACAGATGATAAAAAAGCAATTGTGGAAAACAACTACAGTAAACCTGTTTTTCGGATAAAGTCAGCTAACTTACTAGGCTCTCCGTGTAATAATTGAATGTTACTTTTAGGGTTCTGTTTTCATACTTCATATCATATCATTAGCATAAGCTGTCATCACTGTCTCTGAATATTACAAGTTAAGCACACAAAGGTTGATACTGCAGGATAACCCGGGATCTAGCAACCTATGCTCATGTTCCAAAGTAATTGCTGTCCCTACTCAGAAAGGAATAAACCAACTGTTTGGCCTTGCTATTCTGCCTGTTACATTTTAACTTTGGTATGTTATCTCATGCCCCTTCTCTGGAATTTATTTGTCCACTTCTGTCTCTATTTCAGAAGATGTGGATGGGAGGGAGGAGAACACATTTCTGAAGGTCATAGCAATAAAACAGCATCATCCTGGGAACACAGGAATGTTGTCAGGAAGGGATCTGTAGTCCAACTTTCTGGTTGCAGCATGACAACAGCAGATCAGGAGATCAGTTATGGATTTGCTTACCAAGTCTTGAAAATCTCCAGGGTTGGTAATTCCACATCCTCTGTGGGCAGGCTATTTTACTGCCATTTTATCTACCAGTGCAGCAGTTACAGAGATGGATGCTTCTCAATACACTTCTCAGGAGGGCTAAATAGTAAAACAAGAGGTCATGAACAGAAGTTGCTCTTTGGGAGGTTCAGATTAGACAGTCGCTGTAACTCCCTTGAAGTAGCCATAGGCTGCAATTAGAAACTGAAAAGAGCAGTCCTGAGTACTAGAAACAATTCACTGAAGGGCATCGGAGTGACTAAGCAGCAATCAATTGCATAGACAAAAACAGTACAGGTGAGTATTTTTCGTTCTCCAAAACTGGACAAAGTAGCAAATCCTTTTATGTTCTGGCGGTGGGGGAAAACAAGAACACACAATTATGAAACTACATTTCCTACAGAATATACACATTAAAGTTAGAGCAAATCTCCTGTAAACCTGAGTTCTCAAGGACTGATTTCAATGGTTTGCCTTGGTAGGCTATTTTTCATTCTATGGCGGAAGCTGCCTGACACATATGAATGACCAACCTTTCTTCAAATGCCAGGTCTATTCCACTCTATGAGTATTAAATATAGAAGTGCAGGGAATCGTTTTGCTAGCCTTATATTTTGCTATCACTTCCACATTCCGGAATGGAGTGTTTGGGTGCTTTTTAACTTTTTCTAGGTTGTTTACCTCAATTTGAAGACAGATATGGAGACAGGCATGGAGAGAGAATTATAAGAGATATAGCAAAATATGTAATATTATCTCATTAAAGATTGTCATGGTGTCAGACTTACTCTTTACGGCTTGGAAATGTACATTATTACCTTAAGCATTAATGACAAATATTTATTACTGAAGTCATATATACAATTTAGACTGTATTTTACTTAAGAATCAAATTTCAGAGACGCTGTAAGAAAATACGTACGCAACATTACTCTAAACTTTGAAAGCAAGAAATCAATTCTTTTCTCTACTTAGTGCTGCAGTCAGGTCCAGCCCTCCAGCAGTTTGGGGCCTGTGTGAAGATTGGCTTCTGATTGTGTACATTGATGGGAATCTTTGTAGTGCTCTATGCTAGCTTAGCGGTGAATCCTCTGGTAGTCAGCCTAACCTCTGGAGCACATTGCCCTCATATATGACAGTATATACTGACTTCCAGTGGTATTAATCTCCAAGACATCTGCATTCCATGTTTTACTTCTTTAAATCTTGTCCATGCTTCTGCGGTTGCACATAAGCATTTTCACTGTGAAAAAAGTCTTCATCATGGAGGTGGTATAATGTGTAGCTACAGCACTTTTAAGGTGTCTAGATGGAAAATATACAGTATTTAAATATTTTCAGGTAAAGGAAAAATCCTGCTATTTGTTTTGAAAAGTCATGCAATTTGTGCTGGGATGTCAAATGGACAGCGATAATGTGTATCATTACTTTGAGAGCTGTGTTCTTCCACATTTGGTTTCAGTTTGAGCCTATTCCACAAAATTCAAAGGAAAAAGAGTCCATCCTTCTAAGTTTACCTGAGAAAAATGCTAAAATCTCTAGAAGCCACCATAGGCCTATGTACTACCTGAGCTTTTGATTCATTAGAATTGACTTGGAGCATGAACAGAAATTATCATTTTTTTCCTGAGTTTTCCTGGCAATGGGCTCAAAGGCTTGATAATTGGCAGGTGTCATAACCGAGCCTGGCCTCAAAGATGAGCTGAAGAGGAGCCTGCTTGGAAATAAAAGAAAAAGTTGCTTTCAGCCAATTTGTTTGTGTTTCTTTGACTTCCGCTCTACCAGATCAGTTCAGAACTGAGGCCTTTAATTAAGAAGGTATGTTTAGCTTGTACCCATCCAAACGTTAGCAAGAGTACAGTACAAGCTGTGTTATTTTAAAGAGGGCTGTAGATACAGTGCCAGGGAAGGGGCTCAACTCTCCATTACTAACCTTAAGCCTCTGGAAATATTGACTTTAACTCCACTGTTTCATTAAGACATATCATCTAAGCTAACAGAAATCTCCTTCTGTGGGAGGTTATCAACATTCAGTTTCACTTGATTCTAAAACTAGCTTTTCACTTTCGTACATCTGGCTGAATGCACTGCGCGCATACTGAATAAACACATTGCACGGACTCTGAATGTCATTTGTGTGACAGGAGAAGGGCCAGGGCCTGTGGCTATTTTCCTCTTTTTAAATTTGGTTACCTTATTCCCCAGTACCAGGTATAACCAAGAGATTTCATACACATTTGTAGAAATGCCATCTTTTATATGCATGAGAGTGGGATGTGGCAAGTGTCCTATCTATCCACAAAGCAGGCAGCACAGAAAAAGAGCACTAAGATCAGTTCCCCGTATTTTGTAGCCCTGAAGGACAGCTATACAGTCTAGTCATAAGTCATTTCACTAAGCTCTGAATGGCTTTATGCATTTAGGTTTGATTAGACAGCACACAGTCAAGTCATACACA